ACAAATGAGAAACTTTACACAATGAACCACATAAATGTTTTAAAATTCCTGGTTTTTGTGTTTATTTTGTCGTCCCTCCCCCGTACCTCCGATTAGCGCGGTTGGCTACGTACGGTGCAAAGGAAGTTAAATGTACATGTACCCATTTATAATTGTGGGTATAAAAAAGCGGGCGGTGGATTTAAAACTAATTTGCCCACTGCAACTGCCGGGCCGGGAGAACGTACCGGCAAATCCCGACATCATCGTTACAACAACGGCATCGTCTCTTGAATATTGATGAGAAGTAAGATTACATGACCGAATATAAATTGTGACAAGTTCACGGTTAAAATACAAATCGTGATGGGTCACTTAAACGTCAATCGGTGACTGCTGTCCAGAGCGTTCACGATTGGCTGACGCTTGTGCAAGGGAATCAATGCGTGTCACCGCCATCGGCACGACAAAGGGTGGTTCTTCGGCACCTACAGTTTGACATTTCAATGAATATCTGCCATTGCCTGTAGTGAACATTGGCAAACCGAACTTAGGTAACCTGGAGATAACCGCAACATTGCAGGAACATTCTACAGTTGATGTTGTGAAATTGTTGCGGATGTTTGAATGTAAACGCTTTACAACATTGATGTATACAGTACCTGACTGTCTTGTTTTTTGCTTACATTACACTTGTCGATCGACAGTTCTCGCATGTAGTGGGGCAAAGTGTGGGTAACCCTCACCTTTTGTCAGATGTTGGCCAGCGTGGAAGAATAGGTAAAGTAAAAAAACAAACATATGCCCTCTAGAGCTCCTTCTACCAACAGTGGTGTGAGCAAGAAGCTGCAGGAACTTTGCCTTAATTTTATATAACCTATTGACCTTTTCTATAACCTAACCCATTCACCGATTGTCGTTCCAGACCAACATTATCCGACAGCGTGTTTGAGCAAGCAAACCCTGGCGCGGTTTCGCCCTTCAGGGTCTCATCAACGGAGTGGGACTTTTCGATTTAAAGCTTTCGTGACTGCAGGGATTCATCTTCTTGGTTCTTTCGGTAAAGTCACGTAGAAGGGAAATAATAAAATAATAAAAATAAAACATAATAAAATAAAATAATTCTCACGACGTTTCGGCTACAAGACGGCTGCTTGCGTTGTAGCCGAAACGTCGTGAGAATTATTTTATTTTATTATGTTTTATTTTTATTATTTTATTACTTCCCTTCTACGTGACTTTACCGAAAGAACCAAGAAGATGGAGTGGGACTTGTTTGAACACATTCTGCTGGGTAACTAGATGTTATTGGCAAGAGCTCATATCATCTAAGGGGCTCTGTTCAGGAACAACAACGCATCATGAGTTTGTATATTAAAACGACAAGAAGTCACAACTTTACATCACAAAATGTCGAATGCTATCTCATATATTCGAAAGAAATATATTTTTTTCAATTATGTTGCTTTGTATGACAAATTGTACTTTTTTAGCTGCATCCGCGAAACCCATCTCTCCACTGAACAAGAGATGTATATTTAACATGTAGGCTTTCGCGACCAATGTTATGCATAATCAACGTTTTTGGGTTTAGATCGCGTTTATTTATAAATGTGTCGTAACCCTCCACCACCCGACACGGCCAATCAGTAAAAATGTGTCACGTTGACAAAGACAAATAGTTCACTGCTTTAGCCCACCGGTGTGTTGAAGCCACAACATTTACTCAAATTGTAAATGTTGTGGCTTCAACACACCGGTGGGCTAAAGCAGTGAACTATTTGTCTTTGTCAACGTGACACATTTTAACTGATTGGCCGTGTCGGGTGGTGGAGGGTTACGACACATTTATAAATAAACGCGATCTAAACCCAAAAACGTTGATTATGAAGAGATGTATATTCTTGGTTCTTTCGGTAAAGTCACGTAGAAGGGAAATAATAAAATAATAGAAATATAAAACAATAAAAATTATTACGACGTTTCGACTGCAACACAAGCAATCATCATCAGGTGTGAAATCCACCAAAAAAAATTACAATTAAATCTGCTTATCTGGGACGCCACAGCGTGCTCCCATCGAATTAGGCGACATCTGTCCGGCGGCTGGACGAAGCACGCGTGAAACAAGCGAATTGACTGCGACGGGAGTAACGTGGGCAGCAGTAGCAATTGTAGAAAGTTATCACGGAAGGCCGACGAAACATACGTGCTTCGGGCCTACAAGAACCTGAATCCGGCCCTGTTCCCTGTGCCATGTGGGTCATTTTGTTTTCACTATAATACTTCACTCCGCTGGTCACTGTTGGGTTGATGACGGCGGGAAGCATAGACGTGGGAGCAAATGAGGTCCAGGATTTTTGCTGCCCACCACCGGAGCCTCACAGGGCCCTCGCGTGATGTATCATGAACTCCACTTGCATAGTTCCCATGCTGCAACCTGGTGCTGAGTTTGAACACAGGGCGGTGAGATCGCCTCGCGGTGGCGCGCCGTCCGTGGCCTGTTGCCGAGAGGGGATTAAAGGTTGAAATCCAGCGGGAGTGTGGGGGGGGGGGGTCTGATTATAATTAATGACGAGGATAAAAACGCACCGTCTGCTTCACATGGACAGTTAAAGACCCACTCGTGTTGTTCGCAAGAATATGCCATTGTGTGCCGGCGTCAGGGTCCATTTGTTGTTTTACAAAATCGAAAATGATTCGCAATTTGCACATTCCGGATGATTCACACGGCAGCGATCATCGCCCACACAACTGCCAGACGAATGCTCCCAGGTCACTCTTGCAAATGAGACTCGCCCTGGTCTTTCTCATTCTCACCTGGTTAAACAAAATAAATGTGACGTTTGACTCCCGCACAATGAACATGTGGGAAGCAATCGATCGATAGCACCACATCCCTCACCTGCCGACACTGCTGCAGTGATACCTGAAGGGTGGTCCAGATGTCTTGTGATCCCCAATTAATTGACCCCTAACATTTTTTTTTACTTTACATATTAATTTCTGTTTGAAATAAACCTTCCTTTAAAAAAATATTCAGTTGTAGAGCATTAAATGACGGTTATAAGACATCTGGTCCAGCCCTGTACATCTCAATGATAATAATTTGTTATTGAGATCAGGTCCAAATACGTTGGGGCATCTCAGAATGCTCTGCATCTCATCTCAATTGAAAGGGCACTCCCCTTGACAGATATCCCCGTGGACAAAATACGTTTCAACACCTGGCCTGCAAATGGGCTTTTGTCTGCCAGTCGGTGCCAATGATTGCTACGCATAATCCCAAAAGAGCAATTTGCTGGTAATTGTCTAATTTGGCAAATTATTGAGTGCAATTGGTTTCACCAAATACATTTAGACGCCATGCCCTCAATATTCTCGGCAGTGCCTTTCGTAAGATAAGACGATCCAGAAAAAGACGCATTTGTTCAAAAGGCTTTTTTTTGCAAAAAATATAATTTGAACTAGTTTGGAATGTGATGCGTTTTATTTGTATAATTGTAATGTCTTAGCTGTCGAGTGTTAAAGTAACTGCAGATTGCAGTTGGGTTATAAAGTGCCCTGTGAGATTGTAAGCTTCGAAAAAGCAATGGATGAGGGTAATGTTGTACTGATTTCCTTCAGCATTGAGTAAAGATCTATTGCAATGCTGCGTAGTCGTTTATTCCGAAATAATCATAATTAAAATCACCACGGTACAAGATGATCAATTTCACCAATATATTATATGCCAACAAATAAAGCTCGCCAAAAGTCAAAGATAAATTATTATTATGCAAAGCTATAATGTAAATTTAAAATAAAGAAAAATCCATTCAAATTCGCATTATAATAAATGATTTATGCCACATAGCTAATATCTAAAGAGTTTTTATTTCACTACCATGCAGCCATAAAGTAAGACATTACAAATATATGCATTACATTATATCTTAAAAGAAATACCTTCACACGAGTAGCGAATGGAATGTACTACCATCCGTTGGCAAACAAAATTGCGACAAAACATCAGTATTGCACGAGCTAACAACTGTGAAAAGAAATTGCAGGTTAAATAAAGGTTATTTGTACAGAATTCAAACACAAACAACTCAAAATTCAGTGGAGTCAAAACGTTTTTGAGCGCTAAGCCAAAAACACAAATAAAAAATATAGCAGTGGAAATTCCACATTACAATGTCGGGGCCTGGTGTTTCCCATGGACCAGCATTGTTTACTTCCCACACAAAGATCATCTAATTGTATGTACCTCTAAAAGTAAGACGAGGTGTGTCAATTCTGATCCATAATCGAATTGGTGAGTATTCTTCACAGTGTATAGCTGCTATCATATGACATGTTCCCACAGGCATTCAAAACGTCATCCTTTCCCACGTCCCAGCCACCTCATCACCATTAAATTCAAAATCCGCAGGGCAGAATTTTCTACTTTCCTTCTCTCGGCTGCTGCTAGCAACCCATTCCGATTAATGTTATTTTCTTGTGAATTACATGTGACAGGCCTACTGAGGGTTCCGAGTAAACACACTCTCCCCACTGCCATTTGCATGAATGTTGCTGCCAGAAAGCCGCAGGCAGACAGCTCCTCAGCACACACAGTGTCCTGCACCCACACGCCTGCACCTCAATGCAGCGGCAAAATCTGGGGGGGGGGGGGGGGGGTACCGACAAGAAGAAAATGTGAGGACCGACGATGGTGAATTGAGAAATTGAGAAGATGAATCACTGCCATGAAATATTAACTGGGACCACGGCTGATTGGCTTGCTGGTCATATTAAGGCTGCTTCAGCGTCATTGAAATAGTCACAACTCTACTTGAACTGAAGACAGCTTTCACAGTAAAGCAATTGAATAGTATTGTTATTATTTAAAGATACTGCTGCCGTGATTTGCATAAGTTTAATGAAAGACGATAAATTAAAGCCAACATCCCCCTACTCTGGCATAGACCACGAAGAAGAACACATTTTAATTAGGAGTTTTTTTTTTATGTAAACAACTAAATAACACACCGCCAATAAATAAGCTTCGGATGCAAGATATAATTTTGAAACACTGTAAGAGGAGCTATGACAATAAAATAATTTATTAGGAGCAAAGTGAAACTTACATTGAATATGGAATTGCAGTATAAAATAAAATAAAAACAATCCAAAGCATGATAAACAGTTATAGGACACGTAAAATTACAATTAATTCAGCAGTCATTTCAGTGCACCTCGGTCAGTCAAATACATCGGGCATTTTTCAAAGAGCATTGTTAGCTATCGCGTAAAGAGCGCATGGTTAGTTCAAAATAATTTGCGAGTGTATTTTTTATTATCAATCCCACCCAACTGTGCATATTTAGTTCATGAAAACTTAAACGAAACTTCAAAAAGTAACAAATGCTCAATCATAAATGAAATACATCCCTTTTGTTGTTTAAAGAATGCGTACACGTGCATGCATACCGAAAATATCCTGCGGCTTTTTTTATCAATCAAAATTCATTCATAAATGCTTTTAACTAGCAAAACATTCTAAAAGTTTAATATACATTGCATAAGAATATCATAATTTCATTAAACATTTTCTCTTAGGCTGTAGACATGGCATGATGGCCCAGCACGTAACGTAAATTGATGTTCATTCCTAAACAGCAGGGGGGTTCACACCACTCAAAACCGACAGACATATCCCCATTGATTTACCATTGACTGCCATGCATTACGTTAACAGCACATGTTGTTGTTAGCTTTAGCATGTGACGAGCAAGACGGGACGGCTCCTACTCCCTGTACTCAAATATTGACACGAGTGTTTTGCGCGAATGTTAAAAACCCTCAGCGTTGCGCACCGGACAGATCGTGGAGGATTCGATGAAGGCAGCAACTGAACACTTGGTGGTGGAGTGGAGAAAGATAGACGCAAGAAACGAACATTGCTTCAATGCATTACGACAGTGATTGTTAACCTTCATTGCAGCCTTGCACCCCTTTGGTTCTCAATCATTAAAAAAAAAAGTGTAATGTTAATAAATTCATAGGGGTTTGATGAAACAAAGTCGTTGTACTTACGTGCCCGTGTTTAATTTGTGTTCTGATGATTTACCTTTAAAAACAATAAATCTGGCCATGTCTCGCACTCCCAGAAAGGGCATATGACCACCTCCAGGAGGTTTCGTGCACCCCAGGTTAAGAAGAGGAACCACCACTGCACTCCGCAGTCGTTACCGGTCAAGTCGCAAGACAACAATCCGCGGTGTGCCGTGGCACCCATTTAGGGAGGGAGTGAGCTCCCCCCCACCCCCCCCCCCAGGATTTTTTTCTCCATCCCAATATCGCATGCAGCTTGCCTAGGAGAACAGGTTTTGCAATGGCTCAGCGCCCACTGTTGCGTGAATCAGTCTCCACTTTGTTTTTAGAATCCACAGGCCTTTGTCAATCTACTGCTGGATGAAGGCCTCGCCAAGCCGTGGGTTTTTAAAACGTAACTTTTTGTCATTAGCTCCCAATTGTATCTCAATTATGGTCACGGCAGCATGTCGTGAAACGAAGCATCTATTTAGATATCTAACTATTCTAACTTTTTATTTTAGCAGGTAAGCCCCACCGAACTATATAGCTCTTTGTCAGGAGCGACCTGTTCACAAATGATAGCTCGAACGGAGTTGTGCGACCCTTAAAGTTGGCGAAGAGTCCACAGAAGCGGATACTACAGAGCAATCTCTAAGATGCCTTGTCGTGGCCATGGTCCTCAAATGAAAGGTCAGAACTTTCATCATCGGGGGGTTTTTGACCGTACTTCACCACTTTGGACAGTGTAGTTTTGTTTAAAGAGAGGAGGCGACCCAGGACCAGTTCAGACATCACCACTGACGTTTAGCTGTAGCCAGAAATCTAACTCAGGTCTACGAGGTTACAGCACACTCAGGGCACAGACCACTGATCTATTGCTCCCCAATTAGTTTTTCCCCCTTCTATTGCACCCTAATACATTGTTTTGTATTACCTGTTCATGTCTTCTGCAATTACACTTATAAATAAATAAATAAATCCCGAGGCGCAGTTGACTGCCCCATACAAACCGCCACAGAACACAAAACATCCCCTGCACAGAAAACGGGCACCAAGATAAAAAAAAAAACATGAATCAGTCTTCTGAAGCATTGCTGCAAGGAAATAATATACATTCAAGACATATACAATTGAAAAGGCATGCTGGCTTAATATTACTGGTTGTCTGACATCATGCAAAAAAATTATATACTTACAATGCATCATGCATTTTTTTCAGTTTTTTTCTGTTGTTTAAATTAATCAAACCGTAACAACTTTTGTTCATTCTACGACGTTATCTCAGTGCTTTTCTCAGTGCAAAGTCTGTACAGCATGGCATTGTGCAGCCTACACAACAGCGGTTCCCATTAATACAAAAAATACTGTATAATATGTACACTCACGCACAAACATGCCTTACATTCCATTTAAGCAGTTCAAATGCTTTGAATAAATACACGTTTCTGTTCCGAGAAAATGTGTAGCTGTTTCAGATGTAATTAATCAAAAAATATCTTTCAATGATGTTTTGTCAAAGTTGTTGAACAACAACGAAAAATCCAGAGCTTTGAATCCTTATTGGTCTAAAGTGCTTCTCTGCCTTAACACACAAACAAATCAGCACTGGTATTCATTTACTGGGCTTTCAGTGGATTGACAAAGGGCTGACAATAATATTTTATTTAATTAGTTCGTCGAATAATATCTGTTCTTAAAGCCCCGTTACCTGCGTCAAACCGCATGAGTAGGAGTCGATGTTTGGTATGTTGTCTGTAATGGGGTTCAATCACACCCTGCAACTACGCGGGGCCCTACCATCCAGTGCAATGTCAACAAAAATCACGGGATTGGTTCTTGAATCGAATCGAATCGCGACCATGACAATTAATCGAATCGTTGTGAGGAGAGATCAATCATTTGACCCGTATTTTTTCAGCGACTGGCTGGATGAATATGGGATATTAATCGCAAAGTGTTAAGTTTATTAAATCAAGGTGTCTACAAAATCGGTCGCTGAAAATGTTTTCTTTCTTCACATCTTTAAAGTCTAAAGAATGTAAAACAGAAAAACAAAAACTTTGTTGTCAGTACAAAGAAGCAATTCCCACTGTTATACTTTTCCAAAAAATGGAAAATAATTTAGAAACAGGGGGGAAAAATACGTTCGTCTATAATGCAAAGGTATGTCATAATTGCTATGAATGCTTATGACTTATAGGGGTTAGGTATTTTTCCGTGTTGATGACACAGGTTTTAAAACGACACCTGGGACACAATTCCTGCAGCCAACGGCAAGCGGCATGTTTCCAAAGCAACCGGCGATTCGCACGGGGGCGATGACATTTTTGTAAACAAACACAACATTCATTTTCCTCTCTTTGGTCACCTTTCTTACGATTATTGACAGCTGTAAGGGCGCTAGTTCGTTTCGACTGTCAAAGATGAGACGACGCCACAAGCACTGCGGAACGGCGACTCGCTCAGACGTTCGTTCCTTCGTCTTCTGCAAAGTCGATTATTTCAATCACTTGGTGTCCGTCGGATCCTCTAATAACACGCATGGAGATGACCTCCTTCTCAGGAACACTCTGCATTTCTGATTCAGTCATGTTTAGACACGTTTCGTCTACGTTCAGGGGACTCAATTCCGGGGAAATGTCTGCAATATACAGCTGCCTCAGAGATTCTGGAGCAAAACTTTGGGCGGCTTCTGCTGAGCACAAGAAATCCACAGACTCCTCGCTACGGTGAGCCTCCTCTTCGTCGCACAACGAGTCTACGCTTGATACGGTTTGGGATGTTCTCACGAGATAGTCAGAACACCTCGTGTCAGTTCCATCGTTCTGACGAACGATTCCACCGCCAAGGTCCTCCACAAAATCCCGAGGACTCGACGGAGGAGAGACGAACTTCGGTGGAGCCTGCTGCGCCGAATAGCCCGGTGCTTTGGCCTCCTCGTTGTTGACGCCAGGATGGTACGATGGCAGAGACTGCTTGAGGACTGGTGTGCAGTCCTGGTCTCCTCTGCACAGGGGATTCAGGGCCGGGTCCCAGGGAAGCGAGGGGTGCGATGGAAGGGGGCTCAGCTGGTTCCCGTGGGGCACGAGGGGTTTCAGCATCTCCATGAGGGCTTGGAGATCATTGCCCAACCGTGACACCTCTTGCGACAGACTTGACATCTGCAAGGAGCAAATTGGCCCTTTAGTGTGGAAATTACGAGACTGTTGTTGCTGCTGATTTATTAGCAACATTTCAGATGTAACCATTCTATTTATTGCTCACACTGCCGCTGGTGCAAGGGCCTCTGCACTTGAGCAAACCACCTGAAGTGCGTCCGGTCTTGTCAGATTTCATGACATAAATATAGCGTTGGAATTAAAACACATATTTTACGTGGACAGTTAGAGATAGTGAGTTTTTATTTATTTAATAACCGGTAGTGTTCCACACCGGTGTTTAATGAGCTTTCATTCCACCCCTGCATGTGTTCGTTTCCTCGTTTGTCCAGATTGACAGAGAGAGCACATCAGAGCAAACACAATTCCGCACATTGCGTTCTCGTTGGTGACCGTAGTTTTTCAACGCACTTCAATTGACGTTTCCTGTTGATACTCCTCGTGGCCATTTTAACGGTGCGATGTAATTATCTTTGAAAAGTGAGAGAAAGAGAAAGAAATAAAGTGGGAAAAGTAATAAATATTTAAGGGGGAGAAATTCAAATTTAAGCTGTTCGCGTGACAGTGACACGGCGATGGTTGTTGGCTGGCACAGGTGTAATTAGCGCAGCCTTGCGGCAGGACTGCCGTAATTACAGGCTGGGACCGACTGCGTCCCGTTTATGAGCGTGACCCACACATTGCGCGGTTCAAGAAAAACGATGCTCTGCATAAAATTGTGATTAGCAGTCAGGGGAGTTTTTTGTTTACATTTATTCAGAACCTCCGTGTCAGCATCGTGGATAATTGGTGCTTTGTTAAATAGTTGCTGCAAAATGTTTCTAAAGGCTTCATTGCTATGTTGAGTAATGCAGATAATTTTACCTTTAGTGTGGATGTTTTACGGATAATATTTAAATGGATCTGTAATTGGAGAGTTTTATGATATGTATTTTTATTTCAAACAACCTCTCAACTATTTAAACTAAATCTGTTGTAAATATTGCACAGCGTGCACATTCCCAGCCTTCAGGCGCTCATAACTCGGCAGAAGTTGTGTTTTAGCTGAAACTGCTTCATTCTTTGCTTGCTTCCTACTCCCATGATAAGAATAACGTTTTTAAAAGCTAGGTACGTTTAAATATTTATTTTAGCTAATAAGAAAGTTCAAACATAGTCAAACAACGAAATAAATAAATGAGTGAATCTACAGGTCCCTTTGCTAGGGAGTTTGATGTTTGCATTGTTGGAGGTGAATGTGTGTGGCTAATGGAGGAGTGGCAGTGTAGTGATTAGCGCTACGCTGCGTAACGAACTTGGTGACCCGGGTGCGATTTCCTCTCACGGTCAACACCATTGACGATTCTCTGAATCGGTCCTGGGCCTCCCCTAGGTCGACTCAGCCTCAAATGAGTACCTGGTGCGGTGTGTAAACACTGCTACTGGGGAGACAAAGGCAGTTGGGCGTGATGCCGGCCACCCACCTCCTCGTGTGCTGTGCCGGGCTTCATAGGCGGCCTCTACCAGCACAAGTCTATTAAGAGTCCGTTAAGACTACATGGGAGACCTTTGTCTTTGACGTACCTGCTGATTAAGGTGACATATGCCTCTCCAGGTGTCATCCACCTCCATCGGCTCTCCGCTCCGCGAGGTCCCCTCTGCAAGTGCCGACACATGCAAATTATTCATCAGTTTGTTACATTGGCCGACGCTGTGTAAATTTAATGCATTGCTTCGGCCCCTACTACACGTGTATGAGATTCTGGCCCAATCGTATTCAATGGCAATGCAATGTAATTCTGAGTAAATATAACACAGACACCGTTGGCTGAAACAAAATAAACTGAACAGGTTTTTGGCTGATTTCCCACAGGTTTTTAAAGAAAGTCAAGGATTCTCTGGTAAAACAGGCTGAGGCAAATTACACCTATGAATTATTTTTTCCTGAATTGGATAGTGAGCGGTCCATCAATCTGTATGCTTATCAAAGTCCACGTATGAAATTCAGATGTGCGGTAATTGCTTTGTTATTTTATATTTTACAGCAGGACACTGACATTACACATATCCTTGTATGCCATGAATGCGTGTGTGCCCTTGTACATGGAAATATGAAGTAGTGCATTATTCAAGATCCCTGCCATATTCCATAAAACCCAAGTAATAAATCCTAGAAAAAAAAACTGTAATCGTGCGTAAAGCATTCACAGTTAACATAAAACAATTGCATATTCCGGCCTTCAGTAAAAGCGCCCGGAGTGCATCCTTTTCCTCATTAAGAAGTGGACTCTGTAACTTACGTGGTGGTCCCTCCTTTTAAATCTATATACAGTGCACATCAATTTAATGATGCAGCACTGCAGACAAAGCCCCAGAGACGGCACTGGCAGCGGTCTTGCAAGCACTGTTGCAACATATCTCACCAAATTCATGATTAACACCGCTTTGGCACGGGACAATGTGCTGTATGCTGCAATTTTGAGAAGAGGGCTCTTTTCCGGAAGCGGCGTTATCCTACCATGTGCCTTCTCTGCAGTGCTGCTTAATTGGTTTAGCCAAGATGCTAATCCTCCTGTAAAATATGCCCCCTTAGAAGACTTCCCAGACAATGGATCATCTGGCGATCTGCTAGAAAGCCCCCATCATTGAGGTGGCCGGGTGGCTGAAGGGTCTAAGCACTAAACCAGCTCTCCCGAGGTCCTGGGTTCGAAGCCAGAATTTAGCAGCCCGATATTAAACCGCGTTCACAACTGCAGTGGGTTGATGGTCTTAGTTTGGTTACAGCTGCATAAAAAAATATACAAACAACGTATTACATTTGTTTTTTCACTTCATTAAGGTTTACACGTTTCAGATGAAGGTGAGGTACAATCTTTGTGCAGGGCGTATACAAGTTGTGCCCCTCGTGTGGACAAAGAAGTCTATTGCAGCGACTCAAAAAGTAGTTCTAGGACAACGTCTTCCGATGATCGTTCTCTGACATAGGACGATGCGTATTTCGCTGCAGAGCGAGGAATGGTAATTTGTTAAGCTCATAGCACGATGCCAATAACAAAATCGTACGTTACGTAACAGAAAACGAGCGGTAAAATACGCAAAAATAAGCTCCTGGTACTGAGAAAATAACATATGTGGCTTTATTGCTTTACAATTTACAACCAACGATGAATCAGCAGGCAGCATACAACTACTGAGTCATTCAGTCGGTGGCACTGTGCCACCTTTCCACTGTCGGTCTACGTTTGCTACCGGCCTCATTTCTCCATCGGCCGCCTCTGCTTTGTTGGAACGAGGTGGTGGTGGTGCCCGTCACTGTCAGTGGTGCGTTTTCCGCGGGTGGTTTTTTACCCTTCTCTGCTGGAGGAGTCGTGAGGTCTGCGTGGATGACGTGCACAAAATCAAACACCGCTCCGCCTTCAACCCCAACCACGACCCTGAGACACAAGGGAAACAACAGCTGTCAGAGCTCGGAGTTCACAGGCAGCCACAGTTATTTTCCGTTTTTGTTGTTTGATATTCTTTGAAAGTTGTTTATTTATCTTCGACTTGAACGGCCGTCACCTGGTACTTGCTGCACGAATCATGGAAAGCGGAGAATGATGAGAGGCTTACGTCGATAATCATTCGCATTTGTCTAGGATTGTGCAATGACTTATCATGACATCTTTCAAATATTTTGATTTAAAGCTTTCGTGACTGCAGGGATTCATATTCTTGGTTCTTTCGGCAAAGTCACATAGAAGGGAAAAAAATACAAATATAAAAATATTAAACAATACAATTCTTGTTTGATATTTTTTATTTTATTATTTCCCTTCTAAGTGACTTTACCGAAAGAACCAATAATATCTTTCAAATAATCGAATGAAACATTATTGTGCCGGGCCACGTAAACGTGAAGCTTACATTGACTTTGTGGTATTACCATATATATTTTAAAATACTATTAGGGCAATAATGGTCTGCTTTGCGAATTATATGAATGATTCAAAATCATGTTACCGTAAATAACAGCATTTTCTCCCCAGTGCCCACTTCCAACTGAAAAAATGTGGCGAACAACTCATCAATGTTGAATGATACACCGAATGCTCACACACCTTCATTGGCGTATAACCAGCAATGTATGCCTCAAGCTGCAAGTTCAGATGCGGGTCTTCTGAATCCTGAGGCGGCTGCTTCTATTTTAATTCCCCCACATATACAATACACCGTTCCCTCCTCTCACACCACGGCGACTACAAACAACACTTCCCGTACATTGGTCTCGTGGGTATTTCATAGAAAACGGCAAGTTACATGGCACGGGGGTCATTCGACCCACAGTGAAAGTTCCAAGCACATGCAAACCCCTGAATGTGCAAGGCCTCAAGGAAATTCCCAGCACTGTCCACCCTACTGCCACCTCTTCATTAGGGACGTACAACGTGTTTCATATTCTTAGGTTTTTTCGGTAAAGTCGAAAAAACCTAAGAATCTGAATCCTTGCAGTCACGAAATATTCAAATCTAGAACGTGTTTCAGTTTCATTTATTAGGTATAGCCCTGTGAGCCATGAGGCTTTTGACTCGGGTGCACCCGTAACAAACAAATCATGAACAAAAAACATCTTAAAGTGACATATTCTTAGTTTTTTTTTCCGTAGAGTCATGTAGGTAAAAAAATATAATTAATCAAAGTAAAATAAAAAATAAAATAAAAATCACGACGTTTCGGAGGCAACACAAGCTTCCGTCCTGTGTTGCCTCCGAAACGTCATGATTTAAATTTTATTTTACTTTTATTAAGTTTAATTTTTTACCTACGTGACTTTACCGAAAACACCTAAGAATATGAATCCTTGCAGTCACGAAAGATTCAAATCTAGAATCTTAAAGTGATGTTACATCCAGGAAAAAAACAGTAAAAAAATTCCAGATAAAAAGCACCATCCACAGGGACGCAGCCTTTAAGGGTTTTTGTCGAAATCTACCGCGTGCAATGTTGTGGCTAATGAGTGGTGCTGGCCTTGTTGCAGCTCCACCAGGAGCTTCGGCCCGGAGGGGTTCAGCTGGTGGGATGTGAGGAGGAAATTGGACAAGCTGGCCCCTTTCATTGCTTGTAGCAGAAAGCGTGTCGACCAAACGAGCTACGCCACTGCTACTCACCTCCGACTCACCTCCTCGCTCCCCACCTCCTGACATCCCTATCGGTGCCACTGCTACTTTAAAGCCAACTCGGGGCAAAGGGTTGCCACCTCTTGAGTTATAATTTATATTTTTTACACATTCTGGGAAGACTTACAACATTTCCCAAGAGGGCTTCCTCCATAAGAGGAAGCGATCATCGGAGAGGTGGGGGGGGGGTGGGAGGGAGCCAGACCAGGACAGGTGGCAACCCCTTACCTGGGGCTCAGCGGCTGAAGGCGCGGCAGACCGTGCGGCGGAGGGCGCCGGCTACGGCCGCCTGACGCCGTCTCGCCCGCGCCAAGCCGCGGCGACCCGGGCGCGACGCCGGGGAGGCCGGAACCCCGGGCCACCGCTCCGGCGCCCGAGCGCGGCTTCCCGTTGCTCAGCGCCGCGTTGCCCGGGCGGCGCGTGGCTCCCTTCGCCGGCTTGGCGTAGACGCTCGGCGGCGGCGGCGGGGGCGACGACGTGGCCCAGTGGTAGAGGGGCGGTGCGGTGGTGGCGGCGGTGGCGGTGGTAGCGGCGGTCGCGGTCCGCCTGCGCGGCGGCGTGGAGGGCGTCGGGAGCTGCGACCGCGAGGTGTTGATGACGTTGGACGAGAGCGGTGTCACTTCGTCGGACTCGTCCTCGTCGTTGTCCTCCTCCTCCTCCTCGTCCTCCTGGATTGACGGCAGTCTGTTGATGAGGTCTCCGTTGCTGTCGGACAAGTGCTGCAGGGTGATACGAATACATGGATAAACGTGAGCGTGCGTTTGGTTCCCGTGGAACGGTCGTAACAAAAATTGTCCGAATTGTTTTAGTGGTGATTCTGGTGGATGGACTGGTTCGTGCTATTGGAACGTGGAGTTTTCACGACCGACTCTGTATGGCCGACAGTGATGCCTCCGAATACCTCTTGCAGCGCAGGGATGTCCACTTATGACTCTTGCCCCACTCGTTTCTGCCAGAGTGAAGCTCCTAAAATGATTTCGTTCCACCACCTATGCATTACCATTTACATAATAAACTATTTCTTCGCATGCTCAGATTTGCGAACTTGCAAGCTTTGCCAAAAATAACTGAAACCATAACAAAAGAATCGGACAATTGCTGCTCGTATCATGGTACAGCCCTGGAATGGAGTTGATGGTTCCAATATAGAGCTGTGTAGCATTATTTTTTATGCAAGGCCAGTGAATGAATTGCGTTTTCACGGGAGTGAAAGTGTGAAAAGGGACACCAACCATTTGCTCCATCCCATTTCCTCGGGCCAAGTGCAGTGATCAAAGTGGATCCGAGCAGTCCAAATGAAGTGCTTGCCCATAAGTGGGACGGGATGGTGGAGAAACCGATTGGAGAGCTGAATAACTATTAAATGAGAAGATTAGGCCCTGGGCCCTGAGCGATTAAGGATTAAGGGCCCAGAGGAGCCAGCTGAGACACATGACAGGCTCGGTTTGTTAAACCTGCCACGGTAAATTATAACGTAATAGGAAGATGGAAGAGCTGAGGTCACTCACGTGGGTCATCGCAAGCTGTATACGGTCACACAAACCACCGGAACTTGTGGCGCCCTCGCTATTCGTGCCATGTATGCATGTGGGACTTCTTTCGCACCGTACGTAGCCAACCGTGCTAATCGCAGGTGTGGCATATAGCTATTGAGTGAACAGTGGGGGTGGTGCGGAGAGCGGATGCTTGCCTATGAAGAGGGGGGGGGATTACTTTGGACAGGAGGCCCTATTCAATCCTGGCACCAGAACCCATTGCTAACGACGCTACACTTGACAGCAAACGTTTACACGAATGTACATCTGCCCCACGCTTTCCCTCCCGTCCCACTCTCCCCAAAAAATCTGGGATGGCTGACAAGAGGTTTGCGGTGGTGGAAAGTGTGAGGGTTCTGGCCTTGGACATTTTGTTTTTACGAAATTACGAATGCAAATGACCACGTCCGTTCCTTCACTTGCTTAATTGAAACGGTCAGTTGTGCGACATTAACGTCACGTGTGGGCACAGCAACACGAAGGTTGCACAACGTGGACAGATTTACGGACTTGCTGTCAAATACTAATATACTGCTTGGCAGCAAGTAGGCGCAGGAAGCCAATTATGTTACGTGCGTCACCAAAAACAGATTTTAGCGTTAAAACAAAAGAAATCTAAGAACAGCAGCACAGTTAATGAATTTCATAATCATGGAAAGTGTCTGCAATGCACCAGTGTGAATTGTAACATTTAATAAAGAGAAATGACTGGCATGAACGTTGATATATGAAAAGTAACAAAGTAAAACACTCTGTCAAACCAGTGTTGAATGAAGTACCCCCCCCCGGCCGTGTTAGTGGTAGGGGTTGTTTGACCATACTTCGCCACGCTGGTCAATGCTGGTTGGATAAAACATAGGCGCAGATTGGGGCTTCAAATATCAAGCATCACTGATGTGAGCTGTGGCTGGGTGTCTAACTTGAATCACCAGGTGCGTATCACAGTTAGGTGAACCACGGTGCCACCACTCCAGACACCATTGTCACATGGGCCTTTGAGAATTATGGTACTAAATTACTGATGGCATATTTCTTGATTTTCTTTTCTCTAAAAAAACTCTGTGGTCCCGAGCTCTTGTGCATAGAATCATAATGGAAGCTTATAGTGCATTTCCCCTCATGAGTTTAAACGTTTGCAGTCATAACAAACACAAAAAGACCTGATAAATGAAAGGACCACATTTCTCATTCGTCTGAATTATATTGCAATTTTGAGAAGTGGTACGAATCATTAAACTCGACGGGATCTGGTGTCATTCAATCAGCATCCTCACCAAATATTTTCTCAAGCAGCACAGCATCTGAGCAACTCTTTTGATTAGTTCTGTAAACAGCAGAAGCCCGCTAATGGTGTCACTCGTCAAAGGCACAGGTTTATATTATATCAAATGGCAGTCTAGCAAGCGCCACTGGTATTTAATGAACAAAAGAATACGAGGCGATAATCAGAATCGGCACACGTTTCTAGTTATGAAAAGGTGTGCCCGTTTGCACAGGTGCACGTGTGTAAATGTGTGCGTGTAGGGAGCGGCAGTGTAGTGGTTAACCGTGCTGAGCTACGGACTCAGCCACCTACATTTAATTCCCGCTCACGGCCAACATTAGTGACGAATTTTTAAAGCAGTTCTGGGTCAATAATGGGGAGACAAAGGTGACCGAGCGTGATGCTGGCGACACCAACCCTTTGTCCACCGTGTCGGCCTTCATAGGTGCTCACTAAGAGCACTTTCATCAGTAGCCCGGATGTCTATCCGGGTTATCTTTATATTTGTGTGTGTACACTCAGCTGGAAAAAAAATCCCAGTCCTGCCCGTGAAATGCCGGGTTGTAGTAGGGAAAGATAGAGGCATTTGCTGTCGAATGTTGACAAATGCATCCTCCTCTTGGGTTTGTTTTGATGTCTGTTGTCAGAAGAAATGTATACTGCTGCAGGCTTTTATTGACTAATACCTATGTGCCTTAGCCACACGAATAAATCACAAGATAGAAGTTTCCTAAACAAAGTTTGACTTTGCGTGGAATTTTGTGATGCCACTACACACACGGCATGAAATGCATGGGTCATTAAAAAAAGAATTCGGCGCAGAATACAGATTATCACAAACATGTCGTTATGTTCCATTCAGAATGATATCACACACTGTCCTATATCTATGTACAAAACAATGTTTAAAAAAAATGAACACTGTTCCATGCCTATTTAGAGATGTCACAAACATTATAATATGTTTTGTCAACCGCTTACAACTATTATTTCATAAACAGTTATTTGCTGCACAAGTGACACGTACACAAAAAAATCACAACGAGGAACAACACAGATGAGACGGTACAAAAGACGAGACGAATAAAATCGTACATTTTTAATCGAAACCACATCCTTGAATCATGGACCATTCGTCAAATGGCTGTGGTGATGGTGGGGTGAGGTGCATCAATGGATGCCCAGTCGTTTGAGCTGTTGTCTATCGATCTTCTTCGTGCAAAGCGATGACAGCGACAACCGAAGCAGCCAATTTTGCTTGTTCGGTATTTTTAAAAAAATATATAAAAGCGATTGTGAATCTGCCGCTGGGAGAGCGTGCATCTCAGGCTCTAATGCCAAGGGACGTCCATGCGTGCAGAGCAGTGAGTCTTCAGAACCCACAACACCGTGGGGCCCATGGAAACGGAACCCCCGGGGGGACCATCTCGGCCACTGCCTTCCATTTGGATCACTCTTTTTTTTTTAAACGTTAACTGTGGGCGGAAATGTCCGTTTTGCCACAGCTTCATAATAACAAGGTTAATTCAAAGTAACGTAGGTATAGAATAGAGTTGTCGATCCGTTCGGGGAATTTAACTCAAGTGGAATTTAACTCAAAGCGAATTGTCTCCTAGTTTTCGGGGCGCTTTCAATGCCGTAAACGTTTCTCGAAAATGCGAGCCTTCCACGAGAATTTCAGCTTCAATATCTGAAGCCATAACTCAAGGACGTTTGCCAAGAAATGTTGCTGGGTTCCCAGGCGATGACAGGTATTCTGAAAAGAAAGCCCTTCCCAAGCAGCAATGGGTTTAGTTTCAAGATTCACTTTTAAAAAAATAGATTGCATCCTATCACTGCTCGGCTGGGTCCCAAGCCAGCGTGGAAATCTTTCTGAATGTTGGCGGTTACAAAAGCAGTGTTTTCCCATTCCTCCACCTCCTCCGAGCAGGCGGTCCCTCGTCATTTCTGACAACTCAAATTTCGCCGGGAGATTGATCAGATGAAGCCCTTAGCCCTCCTCGTATCACTTTTCAATTCAATCTCTGCTTTGCCGCCGCCAGCTGCGCGGCTTTCCTCAAAGTGGGGGGGGGAAGGCACATTTGGAAAGACGGACGGGTCGTGCCTGTGCGCCCACTCGATCTCTCTCTCTCTCTTCCGACGCGCCCTAATCGCCACCATTAAGCTTTTTGTTTTTACCCGTAGCGTCTAATTAGGGCCCGGGAAATTGATCCCAAACGGTTTGCTAAAGAACATGTTCGGCGCATATTCGCAATCGCGAAAGCAGCTGCAGTTTCCTATACTCAGCCCAGCTAACTGCCATCTTTTGTCATCATTAAATGTTATATATATACACGCGCGTACGCGTTCGTAAAATGGGAGGATTTGTAAGAATTAAGCGCGGCTTTTGGAGCCGTGCATATGTTGTTTCGTGATAATTGCGGGGCGCGACTCTGTGACACGTTGCATTACAATTGAGACCGGTGAAGGTGGCGCAGGAATTGTGGAATGCCGGACGAGTCGATTGCCCCACCACGCGCTCCAAGTCTCCCGTGGGAAAACGCTTAGCGTCCTGGAGAGGGGGTTAGGCTATTGTTTTTTTGGAGCTTCACACGCCCGCTTGAAAATTAGCTCGGAATTGCGTGTCCTGTTTCCGTGTCGTTGGAAATAGCTTGTTGAGCTGGGGACTCCACTTGCCATGTTTTGTCCCAAAACAAGAGAACCCAGCGCAGCGTGGCTGGCGCGACTGATGTGGCGACAGTGATGATTTTTTTCCCTTCTTCGCGTGCTTTCTGTTTTGAAAGGGGCACGACGTATATCATGGGGAATATATTTACCTGAGGTCTCCCTTGCAAAAAAAAAGTTGTTTGATTCTCAAGAGACTTTGAATTCAATAAAAAAGGAAACATTTTTTTGGGTGGAGAAGCGCGGCATGGTGGTTCGTGCAGTGCGCAACGAACCCGGCGACCCGCAGTGAGATTTGTGGCCACAGCTAACATCCGTAGTGAGTGGCGAGTTGATTTATTTACAGCTACGGTTCGGGTTAACCAGAAAACTGTCTCGAAAGGTTCACTTCTGGTTAACCGTTTTCTAAAAAGCAGTTTCAACCAATTAAAATATGCATATTTGCTCAATATTAGTAGGAAAAAAGACCTGTTTATCCTACAATGTGGCGTAGGCTACAGGGTAAGGTCTTTATTTTGCAGCATCGCTAACGTGCAATGCTCACTGCAAAGTGTCGCGAAGGAAATATTTGCATCCCTTTGGTCAAAAGGAGACATCAAAGAGACAAATGGAGGTGCAGGGAAAGCTGGAGAGGTGAAAAGACAAGCGGGTACGCGGACGGACAAACGCGAGAGCGACAGCGGCAAAACAAAGCTGCAGCAGAGAGAGACACAAACGCGGAGGAGACGGAGGAAGGAAAATCGGTGACACGCAGAGACAGAAAGGGCGAGACGGACGGACGGACGGGACGTTGCTTGCGCGAGCCACCTGGGTGCTGGATCCCTCCCGCATGTTGTACGTGAGCTCGTGCGCGATGTCTCCGTGGAAGCGGCTCGCGTACTCCGGGTAGAGCTGCAGCACCTCGTCCAGGCCGCGCAGGTTGATGCACTGCAGGTCGCAGTAGGTGAGCGCCTTCACGTCCGCGTTGCTCTTGATCACGCACGCCGGGGAAGGGAGATCGCAGCCGATGAGGTCGCCCTTCCCTGCGGGCGCACCAACCGCGGGAACACCCCGCCACCGCAGCCGCAGCGGGCGTTAACGACCCCGCGACGCGACGCGACGCCAAGGAGACGCGGGGGGGCACGCGTGCCCTGGAGTCACCAAAGGGTGACAGTCGCCAAAGTTGAAACATTATTCGCACATCGCGTACAGCCCGTTCTCCTGTAACGCGGTAGTAGGTGCGTTCCTGAAGTACACCGCGTGATGGGGCGGGGGGAATAACACTGGTCAACAAAAAAAAAAACTTTTTTTCTGGCCTGGACTTTTGCAGCTGTTCTAGACTAATTTCAGGGTGCTGATTCCAAATCTGATCTCAGATTTGCTCTATCACATCTCATTTTTATGCTATCGGCATACCCCATTTTCATTGATTTTATCCGAAATTAACTCTGTCACTTATGATTGAAAGTTGTTGCGAGTCAGTGACTGCTTTAGTGTTAAAATATGGTGCTGTATTTTTAGGATAGTGTGTTTATAACATCATTTTATGTAGATATCCACATTTATTCAATATTTTTCTTCTGCAGTTTTTATTGAAAATGCAATATTTGATATCTCAAAAACCTGATGTGATAGACAAAAACTGATGCCAGATTTGGAATCAGCACCCCAAAATTACCTTAAAACCGTTGGAATACCTTCTGCCAGAAAAAGTGTGTTGACCAGCGTAATATATCACGTAATAAGAAATCATATATGACATGGGGCAACGCGCAGTCCACGATAACGCGTGAGATGCGTACGCAGGCTGACCAGAGATTGAGGCGCGTGGGTAGCATCTAGAAGCATCCAGCAGCATCCCGCCTTGTGTGATGCTACGCCGACGCAGCCGTACGATCGCTTATTCGTACTCGCGCGACATAGTTCTGTTCACTCAATCGTGTTGTATCCAGTTCGCGTCGTGAAAACGCGTTATAGGAGAACATGCTGCACTTTAAATGGAAAAAAGGAAAAGTAACGTTGCTCCACACTGGCAGGCGAATTCCCACTCGCAAGTCGATTCTGTGTTCATCTTGTGCCACACAGGGGCAGCTGCCATTAGGGGTTCCCCCCTAGGTTAATAACTGCGCACTGTGAGATCCCTGTTCCATTATAGACGCAACATAAATGCAAGTTGTTGTTGTTGTTCCCTGCAGGGAGAGACGGCACAATGGAGAGCACACACACACACGATGTGTACGCGTGCACACGTGTACACGTAGGGTCCTCCTGCCCATCCACTGCTGGATGAGAGCGTCCCCACACCCGTATGGGTTGCGGAAGTTATTTGACCAATCTTGTCCATACTGCTCTGTGCGGTGTTGGTGACAGCTGAAAGCATAGACGTTGTAGCATAGTATAGTACAAATTTCTAAGTTTGTTATGCTGCCCTCTGCTGGCAATGTAACCCTCTACCAACCTGCAGCACTTGTTGTATGAGTGGTGGTGGTCACCCATCCAAGCACTGTCCAGGCTCAACTCTGCTTTACCAATGAAATCGGGTGCATTCTGGGCTGATTTAGTAAAACAAAAAATGCATGTGTGAATGAATGGATGATTTTAATAATTATAATAGCCGTAGAAATTAAACATCCATCATTTCACAACCTTTTGCATTTGAATGAATTGTGACGATGTGAGAGAGATGGGCATCACGATTTGATTCCATGAAGGTGAAATAAATAAATAGGCTCCCTTTCCGCTGAATGCCCATTGTTCCATACAGCACCTTGTGTTCCGGCCACATTTAGACGCTATGTAAATACAGATTAAATCGTATTGTTTTGATTGTATTACCTTGAGTGGCTGCAAGGAATCTCATGAACCTCTACATACAACTGCTAAAAAATAAATTTTCACATGAATGATTCAATGCCACGTAAATACAGAATGTATTGAGATTTTTGAATGAATAAATGATTTTATGCATAGTTACATCCCTGACATATAATATACTTTATTTTACGCATAAAGGACTCCGTCTCAACACCGTTTTGAGAGGATAGTTGCGTCGTAGACATGTACCAGTGGCATTGATTAATTGAAAAAAAATAGATGCCTTCCCTCGTGACACATGCATTGAATCATGCATATTGAATGAACACACGGGAAGTCTATTTCCCCACATAAAATAAAAATACGAATGATATTCCTCCATCTATTGGCCTTCCGGACCAATGTATTCAAGCAATATTTGTTTAAGCCGCCAAACTCTGGAGCAATTTCAACCTTCAGCGACTCCTCGGCAACAGGGCCAAGCCAGTCAAACAACTTGTGCTGTTTTCTTGACAATTGGTTATAATGCATAGTTTATGCTCATTAATATTCATTCATACACCTATTCATTTGAAATCTTTGAATACCAAGGCTCCAGCTTGTTTTCTTCTTTCATTTATTCCTTTTACAGAATGTAATGTTGAACTTCTTGTGCACCGTATACAGCCAGCCGCGCTACTCCGCAAACTATTAGGATTGGCAGAGAGCTATTAGTCAAACGTTATCGCTATAATTAACTTCGTACATTTTGTGCTTACACAGCCCTGACATTTAAAAAGCAAAATGTAATATTCATCAACGACAGCGCGCACATTTTAGTCGGGGCATTACCGCTCGCTCTTGTTGAAGCTTTTAATTGTGAAAAAGCGAAGAACAGGGGCTAGCGCCCCCTTAAATAATGAAAACGACGCTTTAATAACCTCGCGGTCCAGGCAGGGCAATAACAAATGATACCATACCATTCTCCTCTATTCCTGCTGCCTTTGGGCGGATGCGGGGTGCCCCTAGACACTTGTGAATTGCCATTATGTTCACCAAAATGTTACCCTGGACATACGGCACATCTCGCGAGCGCTCCGCAGGCGGCGTGTGTCAGTTGCGATTGTCAAATGCGGGTGAGTGGTGGCGCAGTGGTTAGCGCACCGTGCCATGAACTCATTGGGCCATGTGTGAATCCCGGCCGCGGCGGTTATATCACTGGCGAGTGATTTTTGAACAAATTCTGGGTTCCTCCCGCTGCCTCCCCCCCGCCACGCCCTCCCCGACTATCACCAACCTACATTGATCAATGTCGTGAAGTACGGTCAACAACCCTTCACGACTCCACGTGGTGGTGCGGAGAACCCTCATCCAGCAGTGGCTTGACAAAGGGCTGCACATTAGTACTGATCGATGTTTTCATCAAGGTAATCATCTTTCACGCGGACGCTTTATTCTTTAGTATTTTTTGTGAAACAAAATGTATTCATTGGTGATGCTGTTGCTTTGGCAGTGGTGCACAAACACCAAATAACAAATTCGTCAACAGCACTGCCTTATTTATATATATATATTTTTTAAAAAGCAGTGTTATTGTTTAATGAGTTGCACTTTTCGATTTAAAGCTTTCGTGGCTGCAGGGATTCATCTTCTTGGTTCTTTTGGTAAAGTCACGTAGAAGGAAAATAATAAAATAATAATAAAACATAATAAAATAATTCTCACGACAGAAGACAGACTCTGTCTTCTCGACAGACCTGTTTTCCACCTGAAGACGGCTGCTTGCGTTGTGGCCGAAACGTCGTGAGAATTATTTTATTATGTTTTATTTTTATTATTTTATTATTTTCCTTCTACGTGACTTTACCAAAAGAAACAAGAAGATGAGTTGCGCTTTCTACGTAAAAAAATATATTTTCACCTTCAAAAGAATTTCTTACCTTGAATTATTCATCATATTTCTGTTTTGTATTTGAAATATGCTTACGTTATTATGTTTTTTCATCGAGATCTCATTATTTTGTCGTCGTGATCTATGATTTCAGAACTTCTCTTTCTTCAAAAAAGACGCCGATGGTCTAGGTTGCCGTGAGCCTGCCTTTAAATAAAACATTCCTTTGAGGAGTGTTTTCACCGTCAGAAATCACTCTCAAGCCCATTAGAGCTGACGGCCATTCGCGAGCTTGTACCACAACACGTTCATGTGTTTATTTGCTTTCACTGCTGTTGTTTTTTTAATTTCAGAACACCAGCCAATAGTCACACAGTGCACTAGCATTCGCACTGACAAATCAGATTAGCTATTTGTTTTGATGCCTAAATTGGAAATGTGAAGGGTTTCTAAAATAATTTTCCAAAAACATATTACAGCTGCTCATTCCTCTACGGTATGGTTTTGCTGCAGATAGAATGAGTCAAGTTGTTGACTCGTCTGTGCGTGTGAGAACACACGCACAACCCACGCACATACTCGATGCTGTCTGGAAGCACCGCCATCCAAGCCGGTTAACACCTCGTCAAGAGGGCCCAGATGGGGAAACGATTTGTCAACGAGCAGTGAACGTGAGCGTCTGACGTGTTGCGCCGACATTTCACAACTCCACGCGCTCCGTCCGGGTGACTCAAGCAAACCCGTCGCCGTCGAATTGCCGTCCTCTTTGCAGAGAACTGGCGGTGTGCAGCACCTCCCACCACCTCTGACTCGAGCACTCACACGTGCCCAATACGAGGAGTGTACAACATCATGCCGTGGGCTGATTGAGTAAGTGTGGTGTTCTAAAATACATATGTGTATATTATTTAGTTCCCTCCAGATATATTCCAATTTATCTTCCGAGGAATCTCGACAATGTGGAAGAGTAGGACAAAAATACCCTTTACAGGGGTCTCTTAAGAGCTCCCTGTATTGGCCGCTCTTCCGCCAGCAGTGGTGTGAGCAAGGGCATTGCAAGGCTGCGTCTTTACCCACTACCTTTACTGTGTACTAATTCTAGATTTGAAGCTTTCGTGACTGCAAGGATTCATACTCTTAGTTTTTTCGGTAAAGTCACGTAGGTCAAAAATGAAATTAAAATTAATAAAAAATAAAATAATTAAAATCACGACGTTTTGGAGGCAACACAAGTCTCCGTCATCAGGTGGGACCGTCACAGCCAGATATGCTGTACAGCAAATCTGGCTGTGACGGTCGTGATTTTTATTATTTAATTTTTTGTTAAGTTTTATTTCATTTTTTACCGACGTGACTTTACCGAAAAAACTAAGAGTATGTGTACTAATTGTGCCGTCAGCGTCATGCGATGAAACGACAACATTTTTGCCTTGGGAGCCCTCGCAGCTCCCAGTGCATCAACCCTGCGGCACATGACGGCCCCGGAAGATGACGTTGGGAAATTTCCCCTGAAGTCACTTCACAGGGTTTCTTCACACATACTTCACACATACTTCACACATACTCGGCGCATACCTTTTACATGCCCCTCAAAGAGTGTTTATCACATCGGAGCTGGACTAAGTCAAAATTAAGCTACAAAAAAATATCGTTGAATATGATGTTTTATTTTGGCGAAGACACTGGTGGCTGCCCTGATTTGAACCCAGGATCTCAATGGAGGCTGTTTCGTGTTCTGACTATTGAACCACCCAGCCACATGCCACTGTTATCTTGTTAATTGGACAAAGCAAAGTTAATTGGAAGCTCCATTTATTTAATTATGAGGTGGTATTAAAATAAAGGTGCAGCCCTGTAATTACGTGTTCATTCCACTGCTGACAAAAGGGCCCTCCACTAGAGAGCCCCTCTAGAAAGTCTCTTGCCCTATTCTCCCGCATTTTATTATTTTCAATTTATTATTTTTATTTGATTTTTTTTTACGTAGATTTTTTGTTTTCTATTTACGTGACTTTACCGAAAGAACTAAGAATATTCTTCCGCACTGCGCCAGACATTTTGCAATTGGTGTGGGTACCCACATTCCCCCCCCCCCCGCCCCAACACGCTACTTGCCATTTAACTGTGGTGCACACCAATTACATATTGCTGGGTGGACAGAGGTGGGCAGGATTGAAGGAACGTCCCCAATGTTTCAACTGCCACTCCAGGAGAACGAACCGGCGGTGTGACAACCTTGACACCACGGCAGCGACTCGGGAGTTAAACATTTTTCCAAAAAGCTATCTTTAAAGAGCCCACCGATAATACAAAAATGTCATTGCATATTGTATTGCTATTATTATTATAGAGGCCATCACCATGTTGTTGCTATATTTGATGTGCCACCAAATGAAGATCGTGGAACATTAAAATGGAAAAAAAATCTGTAAGAATTTTTTCCATCTGATTCCAGTAAAGGAACGCCAAAGAGCGAAATTGAATTACGTTTAACAAGATTACTGGTGCGTCTAAAGCTTTTACATTGATGTTATCATTTGGGCAAACATCGAAGCAAACTCCATTTAGGTGCTTAAACTGCAATGAATTCAGGCAAATGGAGTCCCTCGGGCTGTCTCCCTCTCTCTCTCTCAGCAGCTGATGGTTAGGGCCCTGTAACCGTGTAAGGAGTAAGGTTACAGCAGCGGTCAAATGCAACAAATATAGATTCTATAACGTCCTGGGAATTTCCTATATTGTCTGGCTCATAAGATGCTCCGGAAAGTAAGGCGCACCCAAAAACTTTAGATTTAACATAAGCATAATTCGGGGGGGGGGGGGGGGTGCGATATAATCTGCAGAATACGGTGCGTAAAATGCCCTGCCACCAAAAGGTTTTTGCAGGCCTGGTGCTAAATGCCAGATGATGCCCCCTCGTAAGGTTTCCCTGGATCTGAGGTCTGGCCAAGCTGCCTCACAACTGCTCGCCCACCACACCCCCCGTCCACCGCCCCCAACCACCCCCATATCCCTGTGCTAAACTGTATCCCGTGATGGTGTCGCCTAAAATAATAAAATACTCTTCACGGAGGCAAGGAGAAGTCACCTGAAGAATACTTGCCTGGTTTTGGCGCAAAAAAAACCAATGTGGATTTGCGAGATTAAGAGGGGGGGGGGGGAGTGCACAGGGACATTGCGATCAAGTGTGCAAGTGGTGCAATTGCATCGGGTCCTTATGGGCCAAATTCTGGGCGAAATTGAAGGATTTATACATCTGGTCTCCTTTCATTCCCTTGCACCAGGGTCAATGGCCACCATGCTTCGCCAGTGGGGGAGCGTCGTCGGATGGAATGGCGGAAGGTTGAGCCGCCGTGGGACCTACTCTTGGGCAGAGAAGTTCATAAGAAGCCACCTCTGTTAGTATCTTCCAGTAGAGGGCCCCCTTTCAACCACGCGCTACTGAGCGACGCACAGGATGCACGCTTGCTCGTTTGGGCGAGGTGCTCACTTGGGCGCCTGTCCCCTATGTAGAAGGGGAACGGTTGGGGAATTGTCCCAACTTAGACACAGACAGATGACCTGCATTCATAATCAGTTAAGAGCTAAGATTCAAACGTGATAAAATGGATCAAGAATTCACTTGATCTCATCAGATCTCAGAAGATAAGTAGTGTTGAGCTACGGTGGGTAGGGGCTACGTGCTGGGTAGAAGAGGGCTCTGCTGCAACTTACACTGTTGTCCTGTACTTATATGCTTCCACATCTATGCTCCCCTCCTCATCAGCAATCTGCATTGACCAATGTCGTGAAGCATCGTCAAATAGCTGCTCACAACCCCACACAGGTGTGGGGCATTGCTCATCCAGCAGTGGATTGACAGTAGAGCCGTACGTGCTACAACATCACTGATCCAAACCCAGCATTCCAGCAGTGGTGGCTCAATGCTCTGACCCGTCAAACCAACCCGACCACCTCGTGACTTTCCCACCATACAGCCGAGCAGCGTCAAGGGTCCGTGCCGAGCCAGATCGGCGCTGCTCAAGAAGCGGCCGGTTGTTTATCCACAGCAGAAGCTGAGTCGTGTCGTAACACAATGAACGAGTCGAGACGCATCGAGATTACACACAGTGTGCTGATGGTCACGTGCGAAGAGCACCATTATTAGCTCCGCCACTGGCCCTGTTTGGTCACCCCGGGCCAAATTCAGATGTCTCGCGAGGCCAGCGTATCACGATTTTGCTCTGGCACGGCACGGCAAATAGCCGGTGGGGAAAAACCACCCGTGCTGTGAGGGGCCACACAATGCTGGCACGTCCCGGATGTGGCAGCGGGAAAGCGGTATCCGAGCCACGGCGGCCGCGGCAGCAACTTCTCCCGACGTCGCGCCGAGCCTCACCCAGGATGGCGAGCACCGTGCCGTCCTTGAGCGCCTCCATGGAGCCCGAGAGAATGAAGAAGAAGGCCTGCAGCGCGTCGCCCTGCCGGATGAGGTACTCGCCCGGCGCGCAGAACGTCGTCTTCACGTTGAGCGAGAGCGAGCGCAGGCACCCGCGGCTCGCCGACTCGAACAGCGGCAGCTGCAGCATCTCCTTGTTGAGGTGCATAGTCACGTCGGCGCGCAGCTCGTCCGGGAAGTCCTTGAGGAGCTGCGGACGTCACATGTGACAGCTTGCTTGGGCTTGTTCCGAATGGCACGTATTTATTTAAACTAATTAGTTTTTTTGAAAGATATATTTGTCTTCTTGGTTCTTTCGGTAAAGTCACGTAGAAGGGAAGTAATAAAATAATAAAAATAAAACATAATAAAATAATTCTCACGACGTTTCGGCCACAACACAAGCAGCCGTCATCAGGTGAAGACCAGGTCTGTCGAGGCGACAGCGTCTAAATGAAACACCACCATGCTTGGAGCGTCTATTTAAGCTGGTTTGGAAGTTGAGGAAAATGCGCCTTGACAAAAGAATCTGCATATCAAGAGGAATTTTGCATATTTATGGGAAATGCAGGAATGCGACTAGTGCTACTTGTGAAATGCGTAGGAGGTGGGCGGGGGGTTTTCAAAGTCATATTATGCCCATGCATATTTTTCTATTTGTATTTGTTTCCACAGTTTTATTCCAAGCGAGCTCCTGGCACCATGTCAAGGGATGAAGAACAATCTATTCGGAACTCTCTCAGAGCAATGCTTAGCCCTATGTGTTGGAGAATGCCCCATGGAAGGAGATATGACTATTTCAGAGAACCTTTCAAGTTACCTATTTTATTTTTCCACACTAGGTGTGGTAAATATGCCCCATTTGCCTTGCTTTCAAGATGTTCGTCACATTGCAGTCAAACCACTATTTTAAAATATTATCAAAGCTGGAATTTGGCAGAGTTAAGGATAAAAACTAATCTAAATTGATGGGGTTTTCTTTACAGCCATTGGTGATCTATCTAGGGTCGCTGACTTGCTCCACTTGAGAACGTCAAATGACACTGCGCTTGGACGAAAGCTGCAGTAACTGGAGAAAACCCATGCAATTGAGGGGGTAACATTCCAAGTTCAGCAGATATGAGTCTCAAACCTATTTGCCATACCCCCATCTCCTGATCACCTCACAGCCCAGTGGGATGCCAACACTTGCCACCAAAGGTCTGCATTCCACAGTACTCTGTTTGAATCTGTTGGATCAATGCACCAACCACGGAACGAATTAAATTCACTGTTGCCCACTTGAGTCCTCAGTGACGGTGTCGACTGCCCCCCCTGGTCTTCGTCGATAGCACAAATATTACACCAATAAAAATAGAATGACCACCGTAACCTATGCCTTTACCTTTGAACCATGCAATTACACGCGTGTAGCCTAAGAGCCCTTGTGCGACCATCAAGAGCTCTCTAGGCATGTGAAAGTAATAACGATATATTCTGCTGCCAGCGCTGTCACTGGGCTGTGCTAACAGATCGGAGCGGTCACACACTCTGCCTGTGAAGTGGCTTCAATAGCACACCTACCATAATGTCGTCTCAACCCCACCTCTAACCTGCAATATTCTAACCTCTTCCCCTACTCTAAAAATATCCTCATATTATTTTTCAAATGTCCTAGATGTGCATGAATTTTTTGCCCCTATCTATATGGTGTATATCGATGCAGTCATATTTAATCATCGCCAGTCATGGTTATATCCACTGCCCAATGAAGGCTTCCCCCCATCATTATCGTCTGTTCTGGTCTTACAATGTCACAATTCATCTCATTAGGAGTGCTGACATGGCCCAGTGATAGCGCGTTTGTCGTGTGTTGAACATGTTTGTGGTTTGAATCTGGCACGCTGCCTTGCTTTTTACTGCTATTTTGCCAGGTAAGGCCCACTGAGCTATATATCTCTTTTATCAGGAGCGACCTGGCCACAAACGATAGGTCAACGAAGTGGCTTATCACGTGGAAATGTATAGCAGCCAAATACTCTAAAAGCACATTTCTAAATGTGGAGGGGAAAACCGGAGCACCCGGAGAAAAATCCAGACGACCATGGGGAGAGAGACATACAAACTCCAAATATACAGGCGTCAGGGTCGGGATCGAACCCACGACCTCCTGTATACCAGGCGAGGTAGTTAACATCTCGCTACCATGACAAATACAGACCGCCTGCTTCACAGTGAGCGTTAGGCATCCCCTGATGTCATTTGAAAAGAGCAGACTATTGTTTACCAGCGTCATGGTCCAAATTTGCCAATTTTGACAAATTACCTGCAAATTACTCAATTTGGATTGCACAGAGCAACATCGTTGCTTACTGGCAGACTCTATCCATCTGCGAAACAGCCCCTTCGTGATCGCCCTGCGCTATGAGAATGGCCTCGTACCAAACATTCTAAATTATTATTCTTTAAACAAATCCCATAACTCTAGATTTGAAGCTTCCGTGACTGCAATGATTCATATTCTTAGGTTTTTTTCGGTAAAGTCACATAGGTAAAAAAAATTAAATTAATAAAAATAAAATAAAAAAATAAAAAATCACGACGTTTCGGAGGCAACACAAGCTTCCGCCTTCAGGTGGAACCGTCACAGCACGATAGCCGTATCAAGTGAGAGGACTTCCGAAATAACCTAAGAATATAAATCCCATAACTCCATCTCTTCAGTGGTGCTACTCTCAGGAATCTCCTTAAGCTGGCATTATTACATCTCCTGTCTCAGCCATCTCATATCGTCCCTTCCCAGTGATGTGTCCTATCGAAGCTCACTCATTTTTCCTGAAAGTCAATGCGACGTCTCTGTACCTTACGTACGTTCTCTAATGCACGTGTCCCTCTGCCTGCCTCAGTGTAATTTCAAGAGTGCACCTCTCCGCACTTCTGTGAAAAACCATCAACCGTAACACTCACTAGTTGGCTGAAAAACATCTTAAAATAGAAAACCCAATGCAGGACTCTCCTGAAACAGACCTACAATTTGGTGTGGCTCTCCTGGGTAATTACGTAAAGACCATGTGTCTGATCCATGTGTCCCACCTCCGCACTTATTGAAAACTCTCGACTTTCACTTTTCTAAAACCCTAACGTGTATTTTTGTAGAGTCGTGTGCGTGAAACACACAAAACAACACGAGCAATTCCCCCCGCGTGCCTCGACGGGAGAGTGGGCGGCTCGAAAATCGGAAAGGTTGCGAGCTCGAAACCTGGTTGGCACTTAAATCGGCCAATCGTCCCAGCGGAGTCAATCAAATACGTCCTCGCTTCGTGGGGGGAGGTCAGATCAAAATCAGTACAAGAATCTTTACTTCGACTGGAGGAATCCGATGAGCTACGAAGCTTTCTTTTCACAGATGCCCACTGCGGGCGGCTCAACGGTGGGTGTCCTGTTGCGAGATTCGACCCTCGCATTCGGAATAGGACAGTGCCAAAGTTGTCTCAGCGCCGTCAACCGCGGAGATTAAGCGCCCGCCTCGGCGACGCTCGTCTGAGCAGGAAATCACTATTTAATGTGATTTTGCTCTCACTGTCACCTCATTGGTGTCGATGCCGTTGTTGACGGACCACGTCGTCTGGAAGTACTCGAGCATGCGCTGCTTGAGCTGGTGCGGCAGGCGGTGGATGCGAATGAACTCCTTGAGGTCCCTAGTTCGCGTGAGGTAGAGCGAGCGGCGCGAGTACATCCGCTGGATGATGGCCGTCACGTTGCCGAACACGACCGCGTGCATCAGCGCTGCGGGGGTCACGGAGGTCAGGGGGCGAGGTTAAGGGAGCCGTCTCAAGCAGAGGGGGAGCAACTGCAATCGGTAAGGCACCTTGCAAACAAACAAACAAAATGCACTGGGGGACGAGGTCGGAGAAAAACGGTCCTGCTGATTTTTATTGCATGACGTTACATCTCGTCATCGTCAGCATCGTCAGCCATGGTCAATCTGCCACCTCTCACGACCCTGCGATGCAGCTAATCCCTCAGCACTTGCACACCGATTTTATCACTCCGTCTTCTCGGTGGACGTACTCTGGGACGACGTTCCATTCCTTGGCTTCCACCCCGTTATTATTCTTGACCACCGTCCATCAACCCTTCTCGCGACGTGTCCTGCCCAAGCCCACGCAGATGTACACATCCATCCCTGTCTAAGTGCATGTCGAGTGGGGGAAGGTGGTAAGGTTTTGGGGTTTAAGACCCGCAACGATCAACTTAACCTTCAATCCCACGAAAGTAATTTAATTAGTGCAATGTTTATACTTGCTTCTTAACAAGCTGTCATGCTTGTGCAGTCCGTATAGATTTTGGCTTTAATTCGTGTTTGCGAGCTTGTTTGCCAAAGAAATAGTATTTGAGCGCGTGAAAGTGTGTCTGTGTGTGCATGGGAAACAGTGCTGCGGTTATCACACTGCACCACAAATCCATGGACCAAACTTAAAATTCCTGGTATGAAATAAAATGTGAAAATTGTGATTTATTTTATTTTGTACCCACGTGACTCTACCGAAAGAACCAAAGAGTATGGATCCCTGCAGTCACGAAAGCTTCAAATCAAGATAAAATTCCCGGCCTCAGCCATCACCAGCGGAGAGTGATTATCTGATCTAATTGCTGAGCCTCCCCGAGGTTGAGTCAATCCTAAATAAGTACCGAGCGCAGTGTGGAAGCATCAGCAATGGGGAGACAAAGGCGGCCAGGAGTGGTGCTGGCCACATGCGTCCCTTCATGCACCTTGCAGGCCTTAATAGGTGCTTGCTAACAGCACGATTCGATAATCTGTATGGCTATAGGGAAATCTACTTATGTTTGCGTGTGTGCGTGTGCATTAGTGTGTGCACCTAGCCTGGCACGAAGAGCTGTGGATCGAAACGCATCTGAGAGCACAGCCACCGAGGATTTGGAGTGATGAAATCAGCTCGTCTGAAAAATAAATAGTTACATCGCGTGATCGTGAGACATGGGGGCGGATTAGGAAGATGCTGGATGTCCCATGGCTGATGATGATGTTCGTGCTGGTTAAGTGGGGAGCGGTGGTGTAGTGGTTAGCGCTCAGCTGCTCTACGAACCTGGCGACACGAGTTCGATTTCCGCTCACGGCCAACGTCGGTGACAAATATATGAACTGGGCCTCCCCGAGATCGACTCAGCCTCAAATTAGTATCTAGTGCAGTGTGTAAACGTCGCCACTAGGGAGGCAAAGGTGGCCGGGCATGGTGCTGGTCACCCACCCCCTTGAGTGCCGTGCCGGCCTTCACAGATGCTTGCTAACAGCATTTGCCCCAAAAGTCTACTCATGGCTATACAGGGCATCTTTATCTTTGGGTAAGGTAAGAGGCAAAGGTGCAGCCCTGCAATTACTTGCTCACGTTACTTCTGATTATGATAAACTTTCAGTTAAAGAACAATGCATTATTCCAGTGGGGGGAGGGGGAGAGTTGGGTCGGCAGGGGGGCTGGGTGTGATAGAAGCCATGGAGAATGCACTGCTCACCTCCGATGAGCATGGCACAGATGGAGAAGATCTTCTCGCCGTCCGTGTTGGCCGACACGTTTCCAAAGCCCACGCTGGTGATGCTGCTGAGTGTGAAGTAGAGCGAGGTGATGTAGGCGCTGCGGATCGGAGGCATGCCCTGCGTTATGTTGGGGTAGTGTGGAGCTACCAGCCGCCTCTGCAGCTCCTGCAGCCATCCTGTAGACAACACACAGACGGCACCACGGGCACTTGCATTGAAGGTTCAGACTGTTATTTTTTTTTATATATGAGGGTCATGAATTTTGGGAGAAATGTTTGGAGAATTCTTTAGTGTGTACGGTGGTGAATTAAAGTAACTTTCCAGCTGAGCACTCCTTGTCCAAATTGTGTTTTTTGTATGGGGGAGAAAGCTGGCATGCCCGCAGGAAACTCACACACAAGATGAAAAAAGCAAATCAAAGGGCTGTACAAATGGGTCCATAAACCCCCCCTTGCTGTGCTGTCATCTCGTGGATCCATAGGGGATCAGGAGTCTTTGGAGTTCCACAAATCTGTGATTTGCCAACCCTTGGCTGCAAAGTGTTGGATAAACAGGAGTGTGCCACCGCACCCTGAAAATATCAATGATATGACATGCGCTAGCTTTCCTGCTATGGTCCTATATGGCACAGTGGTTACTGGGACACACTAATACACAGTTGTTCTACCGACAGAAGCACACGGGTATGTACAGCTCATCTGACAAGCAAGCGCTCAGCGAAAGGGTCTGTGGGGATTGGTGTCAGCCACGATGGCTTGGTACCTGGGGTCTGGATTCTCCAGTGTCTCATGGGAGGAAGAGTTGGGGGATGAGAGGAAGCAGCTGTAAGGAGTTGCTTGTCAGGAGAGTGCAAAGGTCAGACTCCGCTGTGGTATTTATGGAGACCGGTTCGGTGGTAGGTTTGCCACTGTCCTGGTTTTCCCAGAATTAACCTCTTTTTGAGGTAGCTAGCTGCCTTGGGAAATCGGTAAGTCTTCCCCGTACATAAATGTTTTGTTTTTGTCAACAACACACCACACTTGCACACAGCTCTCCCCGCTCCCCAGTACTGTGATATATTCTTCCATTATATGTTCCCGTTTTTGTACATCAAGAGGTGGCAACATTGAGCGTGACACTTTTAGCCAAATTCAACTTGAAATGAGGATTTTCACAGAAAGCTTTCTCAATTTTCAACACAGCCAAAAATACCTCCCCTTCGGCATGGTTATGCGGAGAATATATGTGCCGGCGTTATTTATTTATTTATTATAAAAACCCTTCTTACAAAAGAACATCCCATGCTTGGTAAGTGTCCTACTGTAAGTGGCGAAATTTGACAGCTGTGATTAAAGCGGCTTTACTGGACCGAACCTCAGGCCCATCGCCGCACGGAGAGCTCAACGCTTAGGTCTCCAGCCTCTTCAGCCTGCTGCCGTCAGGGAGGAGACTGCGGAGTCTTCCAGCCAGGACCAGCAGGCTCAAAGACAGTTTCTTTCACCAGGCTGTCAGGAGACTCAACTCCCTCCCTGCTCTACCATCACTCCCCCCCTCTGCCCATCCACCCCCCTTTGCCCCCTGACCCGAACCCCCAAACACATATTCACTCGTACATCCTGATCTCTGGACTGCACATTGCACTACATCGCACTATCACACTGGTTTAAATATCTTATTTCTTTAAATACTTTATTTAAATAATATTTTACATTTTAAAAATTCTTGACTGTTGTTTATTTTAAGTCTATTACATTTTTGATTATTTATCTTGTGTTGATCGCCGATTGTTTATTGTTTATTTATGTCTGTTAATTGTGATTAATTTTTTAATTGCTTGGTTGCACCGTGGGACCAAGAGAGAGGACTGTAAATTCATCTGTGTTGTATGTCATGCATGTAACACACTTGACAATAAAGTGACTTTAAGACTTAAGACTTTAAGAGAGGGGCCGTGGATTAATGACGAAACCCGGCAACGGCGAGGGAGGGATCGTGCCACCACAGGTGAGACCCGTGGAGAATTTTTTGTTGTTTAAATCAGCTCCTCACTCACGCTATCCGTGTCAGTGCCGAATAAGACAACCGCAAATGACGCTGTTAATTAATTAGTTAAATGATATGGTCAATTTTCATTTGTTCGTTTTTTATCCTCCAGGAAAGCTTCATTGAGTTTCAAGAATGTTTTTTTTTGTATTAGGAGAATTCTGCATTGGGATGATGGGACGCTTCCTTCTTAAACGAGTTACTGTTTGCAAAGAGAATTATGTGTATAGATATAATGAGCAATCGGCAAAGCCAACGAAAAAGCCATGCATATGGGGAGATTAAAATGTCCACAGAATCAAATTAAATTATAAATCTTGTATGTGTCCGTGTGCGTCTTTGTATGACAAACTTTAACATTCATCGGGCGTGCGCACCTCTGATTAGTACGATGCGAGAGAAGTTCAACATGCATACATACATAATGGCTTAATGTTGTCTTTAAACAGATGGAAATTGTTATTCTTGGAAAAACATGCACCATGGTGAGTGGAGAAGAATTGAATTTGGGAAACGCTTAATTACCAATTTTTTTTTCCAATAAACGCTGGTCCTACCAATCCATGCGTATGTCGTTAAAAGTGCTTATATAACACGCGCTGGGTTCTTTAAACGTGTCCATGACTACTTTATACCAGGCATTGCTCTCTATGTGACGTTCCCAACATCCAACAGGGTTAATTTGATTTTTTTTCACCAACCCGCACTGACCGGCATGGTGAACTATGGTCAAATATCCCCCACGACCCTTCAGGTGCGGGGTGACCTCGCCCAGCAGTAGATTAACAAAGGGGCGCGACAATCTATGTGACACGTTGCATGAATCTATACATTTGATGTAAATTTGCCAAAGTCTTGGCGAACAACAAGGGCTGTGTAATGCCAATGCACATGACATTCAGGTTTCACATATGCAGTTATATAGCTTCAAAGAAAATTGACAATTCGGTAACACAACGTATAATGACGCAACAATTACACAAGCAACATTCATCGTTCTAACACCGGTCTCTTCCAACACCTGCACGGGAGATTGTTCTTTAATGTGCACTGCTCAATGACAAAACAAAATATGTATCTAATAATGATAACATCAAATTGTAAAGGTAAATATTGCATAGCAAACGGAAACAAGAGAATCCGTTATGCGTGCGATTGGGTGGGTCACCTGTCAAGCGGGAGAGAGCCTACAGGGGCAAAAGGCCCCGGGCAGAATATCACATTAGCGGTAATTAAACCGGCTCTGTGGCAGCTGACGGCCGCAGGCTACAGCCTGGAACCAACACAATCGGTCGCATCTTTTTTTTTCCCCTCCCTCTCTCTCAAACATTAACGACGGTTGCCCATTCGTTTTATTTATTCTGCACATTGTGTGTACTGTCAGCTTGCCCTATCAATCTTCGAAGCGTTTTTATTCCATTTTATGGGGTTTTTTTCTTTTGTTTTTCAACAGAGTAAGCCTTTTATTTCTGGTCGTTTTTTAAAAAAAAGATCCACTCCTGTTTCATAACGGCCACCTTCCGGCATTGCGCATCTTCCATGTGCTTCCCGAGGACGAAATCCAATTAACATTTACATGATAAAACCATTCTGTTCTTGAATAAGCTATTGTTTTCTCAAAAGTTGCTCTAGGCTTTCTGAAATAACAACTGGCCCTATTTAACGATTCTTCACAAAGCAAACATGACTGTTAACATTCGGCACGTATGCCTGGTTGCTTGAAACAACGAGCAATTCACTGTTCACTCCGCTGCAATTATTGAGTGCTCTGGCCAATCTTATGTAACAAGATAGCCCAGGGGTTCACCCATTTGCATTGCAACTTTCCACATTAAATAAATTGCACGAGACTTCGGCGAGTTCAGCGAATCGTTACAAATTCCCACGTAAGTTTACGTTTTATAATCAGTATTCGGAGGCAGCAGTGGTGAAGTGAACAGCGCACCGCACAACAGGCCTAGTGAGCTGAGTTAGATTCTAGGCCAATGGTAATATTATCAACGAGATGTATATCTCAATCAGGCCATGACACCCACCCCTACATACCCCCCTCCGCCCTTGACCACCCCACACTGACCAGCATGGTGAAGCATGGCTCAATATTGTGCATGCCTGATAAGGCACACGTGACCCCGTGCAGGGAGACTTTTAATCAGCAGTTGACTGAACAATGTCGGAAGTTGAATGATTACTTTTAATTTGCATTCAAAATTTGCAAATTAAAAGGAAAAAGATTGGCACGTAAACGTATTCTTCTGCAGATGACATATTAGGTTCAGCTGGAATCTAAACAGTTCTAGTTTTAATTTAAAATACAATTTTCTTATAAATTAATCCATTGCAACAATGAGCTTTGCACTGCGTGAAATTGTGCTGCTTTTTCTATTAAAACTATACATCGTTCCGCCGAAATGTGATTTTCCGCAGACAATTTATGCCGATGCATCTCAAGCACGCTACTAACGTGCTGCTCACGTGCTTGAGATGCGGTTGCATGTCGATGCTTTCGCACTCTGAACTGTATTGCATTTTTAAAACTGCACCAGCGGACAGGATCTCATTCGCTTGACTGCCATGTGCCAAAAGGGTCAGTTGAAGTTAGATTATATGATCGGTCAACCGCTGACCAAAGACTCGTTGCGTACAAATGAGTTAAAGCACGTTAATCATGATCTAAAAAAATTAACCCGTAAAAACAAAGTTTTCCACTCTAAATCCTTTATATGCGTGGCGGCTAGAGTCCTCTCGTCCTCTGGCTTGAGTTGGCTGCCACCTATGGGTCATATGATTGTCTGCCAGAATTAAGCAATTGGTAATTAAATATAAAAAAAAATTCCCTAAACAGTGTAAAATTTTGGAAAAAAAATTTCACGAAAATTAATTGTCACGCACAACGAGTCTGTGTGGAAAATGTGAGCTCGATTGGATCACGGGAAGTGGGTTAAAAAACGAACAAAAGATTTGCACGGTCGTAAGCAAGCAAGCACGCAAGCACGCAAGCAAGCGAACTTAATATAAAGGATAAAAAAAAAAAACCTCTGTCCTAAACACTCAAGCTAGAGAGCGCTGCTCCGTCACACGGCTAAAACATTCGCATCTCCAACTTGCCGAATACGACAGGCACCGACGCTGCGCGTGTTTGAACGGCAAATAT